GAACGCCTCGTTGGACATTTCTCTTTTTCCATTGTTTACTTCTTGGGTATAGTGACGTAACGTCCGCGGAGCCGTTACGTTCCGACCAATCCACACAAACTCCCAGCCAGGCTACACATGCTATACAGAGATGCTGTATGAGAAACCAATGTGAGTTTGGAAAATTGCACAATATACATTTATTTTAGTAGACCTCAACAATGGAATTATGATCAGTAGAAATGGCCATGACATGGGACCTTTAAAGTCAATTGGATGTTGCTGGGAGAAGATGTTCATAGACAGAACGAGCCTGTAGCTATTGTGCAAAGGACAAATAAAGCCGTTGAATATTTTGAGTCCAACGCTGGTCAATAAGTGAGAGTGTGGGTGCAGAAATTCACAGTAAAAAAATAACCCCATGTGCTGAGTATATGGCGGCAACAGCTGCTGAGGAGGAGGAGGAGGAGGAGGAGGAGAAGAGCTGAAGCAGCGTCTCACCTCTCGGAGCAGCGCTGTCAGAGGAGTCATGATGTCGTGCTTCACCATGTCCTCACACACCTCCTGACCGCCGCATGCACTCAGATTCCTGTCAGGGAGAGACACACACACACTCAGAGAGAGACACACACGCAGGGAGTGACACACACACTCATGGTTCAGGGGGAGAGTTGGTTTGTGTTCAGGCGTATGTGTTGGTGTAAGACAGAGAGGGAGAGGGAGAGCTGGGGGCGGTACGATGAGCGAGCGTCTCATTGAAATATCCAGGGAACTCGTTCTGACTTAAGGTCAACTGGAGGACAGGAGACAGGAAGCTCTCCGATACAAAAACAAGGGATGACTGTGAATCAGGATCTGAAATCCTTTTATCTGTCCCACAGAGGGGGGATTTTACATTGTTAGAGCATTAACGGTATAGATAGAGACTACAAGTAACCACTATTAAATATCTTCAAACACAGAAACGCTTCTGCTGTCGCTGCTGGTTATTTGCTGTCTGTCTGCTGTGTCAGAGCCTCAGGTTGTTGTTGTTGTTGTTGGCCCTGTTCCCCAACATCCTCCCAAACTATGTGCAATATATACCTGGCTGCTACTAATAAAGGTATTCTGATTCTGATTCTGATGTTGTCATTCTTTTCATTAATTTTTATTAAGCTCAATAGTAATACATTAAAAAAAATGTTTGACTGGAACCACTCTCTTTTATCTGGGACACAACATCTTCCTGCAAACGCTTCTGCTGTCGCTGCTAGTTATTTGCTTTCTGTCTGTTGTGTCAGAGCCTCAGGTTGTTGTTGTGGTTGTTTCCTAACATCCTCCCCTCCTCACCTGAGCGCCCCGGCGGCGGTCTCCCTCACAGCCAGGCTGCGGTCCAGCAGCATGGGGCCGAGGCGCCGCACGGCGTCCCGCTGCAGGAGGCCCGGGATGCTCTGGCTCTGCTGCACCACCCGGGAGATGCTGGCACACGCAAACTCCCTCACATCTGCACTGGGACTCTGCAGCTGGGGACACATGTTTCAAAAGATTAACATACGTTTATTTAGACGGAAAAAATGTAAGTTCTCAGCAAAAATGTGTAACAACAAAAGCCTAAATGTGAGTCTTAAGAGGGAAATCACACAAGTGTAATCTACCAGAAAATAAAAGCACAATGTAATTTAAATGCAGCAAAATATTGTTTAAATGCACCGACAGCATATTTTAATATCATTTGTTTTGTTTTCAGAAAATCTTGGTTATACACTTTTTTTTTGCAAAATTGTAGTTCTGATGCTTTTTTCTTTTTAACTCTAGTGTCTATTTTGGTAGATGGAAACAGCACAAACATGTTTTAACAGTAAGCTGACATACATGTTTACTAAAAGTATTTGAGTTAAGCCCATGAAGGATTCTCTCCCTGTTTTACTGAAAGGTCTGCATGCATGACAAGTGACAACCATGCAAGGATGTAACATAACTAAACAGCTGAACTAACAGTTATTTGAAGAGGTGGGAAGTAACTAAGTACATTTACTCAAGTACTGTACTTAACTTTTTATATAATAGTGTTCTATTACCTTCGTCCCAATGTATACTGTAACAACGTATATTTCCCCTTTGTATGACGAGAACATGAATTCTGATTGTAAACATCTAAAAATATAAACCAAACCTTATATAATATACCTTTACTACAAGCATTTGAGTTAAACCCATGAAGGATTCTCTCCCTGTTTGGTGTGTTACTGAAGTGTCTGCATGCATAACCACAATGCAATGATTAAACATTAAGAAACTGATAAGCAGAGTATTTTGAGTGATATATGAATGATCATACTTTCTCCAGGAGCTCCCCAGCTGGACAGTCGTCCTCACAGGGATCCTCTGCCTCTTCCCCCGCCTCCTGCACCGCGTTTACCGGCAGCCCAACCGCGTTGAACTGCGGACGTTTAAACTTCGTGGTTTTACTTTTACCCATTTCAGTCCTTGTGAGAGCACGACCTGCGTTTGTAATGTTGTTTCAGTCCCACTTGTTGGTAATTTAGAGACACAATATCAAACACAAAACACAGTTACAGCCTGGTGGAGGCCATGTGGAAGATGTGCCGTGAAGTGGTTGTTGCTAACAGAAAGCCGAGAAGCTGTCGCAAAAACAAAAACCAACCCTACGCCACATTGCAAACGTAAATCCATAGCAACAGGTGATTCTATATAATAATAATAATAATAATAATAATGAAAATCTTAATAATTATAATAATAATGATAATAAATTATAATAATATAACGCAGTTCATAAACATAAGAGGAATAATAATACTAAAAATGTTTTTTAAAAGATTTAAATTAAATACATTTTACGTAATTATATTGTTCAGATGTATTTATTAGGATAAAACCTAAATTAAATACATTAAAAAAAAATCCCTATTTCTTATGTAATTCTATTATTCTGAATTTATTTATAAGAATTAAAACCAATTCAAATAAAGGTAAACATTAAAATCAGTATATTTTAAGTTATGCTATTATTTACATTAAATAAAAGGATTAAACCGCAATAAAAATAAATACAAATGTTAAAAAACATGTTGTCATTGTTTTGTTTAAATGTACTTATTGAATACATAACCAATTGGACCAATTAAATTAAAAATATATGACCATTGTTGCTGTACGATTGTTAGTCTGTGCCTCTATTGTAGGAATGCACTTAAAGGTGGGGTAGGTAATTCACTTCCGAAACACTTTTTGTTATATTCCATGGAATGCTCTTAACATCCCGATAGCAATGAACACATTAAATGCTTTGACAATAAATACATTAAAACATTTCATCTGTGGAAGCCGTGGCGCTGTAAAAAGCACGACCAATCATCTGAGCCGGCCCGGCTAAAATAACTGGATGGCCTACCTGCCTGTCAGCCTTCCATCTGTGCACAAACTTATCTCGTGCCCTCATTGGTCATGTGCGCGTCCGTGTGTTGGAGGAGGGGCTCTGTGAGGAAGTCTGAAGGAAGAGGCAGATATTTTCCGGTTGTGTANATAAAAGGATTAAACCGCAATAAAAATAAATACAAATGTTAAAAAACATGTTGTCATTGTTTTGTTTAAATGTACTTATTAGTATAAAACTCGAACAATTAATTCATAAGGGGGTCCCATCATATATCTCATTGAATACATAACCAATTAAATAGAAAATATATGACCATTGTTGCTGTACGATTGTTAGTCTGTGCCTCTATTGTAGGAATGCACTTAAAGGTGGGGTAGGTAATTCACTTCAGAAACACTTGTTATATTCCATGGAATGCTCTGAACATCCCGATAGCAATGAACACATTAAATGCTTTGACAATAAATACATTAAAACATTTCATCTGTGGAAGCCGTGGCGCTGTAAAAAGCACGACCAATCATCTGAGCCGGCCCGGCTAAAATAACTGGATGGCCTACCTGCCTGTCAGCCTTCCATCTGTGCACAAACTTATCTCGTGCCCTCATTGGTCATTTGCGCGTTCCTGTGTGTTGGAGGAGGGGCTCTGTGAGGAAGTCTGAAGGAAGAGGCAGATATTTTCCGGTTGTGTACTTTCAAAATCTAGCGCACTCGAGCTGGTTTCTCCATTCTTACCTATCCTACCTTGAATATGTTTTATATTTATTTACTAGCAGATACTGCATATATCAAATATACATTTCTTCTGGGACAGTAAAGTCTGATCTTATCTTTTCCATATTTGCAGCATACATCCATAAAAACTGCAGCAGCATCAAAACATTTATTGGTTTTGAAAACCAAATAAATCACATACGCAGGTTTTTCATTAAATATGACAACAAAAAGGGAGGCAGTTTCACACCTGAAATATTTATTTGGTAAATAACTTTAAAAATAGAAACAATTAATTAAAATACATGCTCAACATTAGAAACAGAAATTAACACATCTGAGCGTTCATCTGCAGTCAGCACAGCGACAGTGTTTAAAAGGCAAAATCAGGTCATTTCTTCTTTCCTCCAAACGCATGATGAAGCGCCTCAGTGCTGCCAAAGGACTAAAGACACGGAGTGATCAGCGGATAGAAACAGAGACATCAGACGCCACACTCCAGCTCACGGTTACTGGATGTTCGGTCGTGGCTTGAGTATAAGTTTCCCCGTCTGTAAGAAGAAGAAATAGCTGTTAAAACTCGCAAACATATATGTTGTCAGAGCACACTACTAAAGTTAATTACAAACAACTAACAAAGAAGGAGCTGGGTAATACTCCCGGAAAGACTCGCAGAATCTCCAAGATAAAAGTCTTGAATTGACAAAAGAAAAAACTTGAACATTGTCTGAGACTCAAATTGGAAAATAGTGGGTTTATTTGTCAAGGAACCACATCTTACAAAATTAGTTTTTTCTTGTGAATTTGATACTTTAATCTCAAAGGAATTCTGGGATTTATGATTTTGTAATCTCATAATTATCCAAGTTTTGTCTCTTAAATACATGATTTAAATATTGTATTTTATGAAGTAAAAATCCTTAAAGTGGACCTAATCATTTTAGGCAATAGCATAGGTCTCAGATACAAATATATAAAAAACCTGTCTATGAAGTGTTTTGCTCAAAATACCAAACAGATCACCCATTCTAGCCATGCCTCATAACCCTCTATTTCACTTCCTGTTTCAAAAGTGCTGATTTGGGGTATAAAGCTTTAAAAAATAATAAAATTGATAATAAAATAAAAAGGAGGGGGCTGAGCTCATGCGGGACCCGGCAGCTACTGTCTAAACTAAATACTGCCGTGATGAAACGCCATATCATGGATTATCAAGGATTATCTCTGAAACAGTATGGAGCTCAAAGGCTTTCTCTCTTGCCGGTTATACCACAAGGTGAGTTCCTTTTTACTTCCTGCTTCTTCACACACATGCTCTTGGGGTACGGAGGAAAAGAGAGAGGGTTTTATTTTCTGACGCTGCGTGAGTTCCCTGACACACCGGGGACACATCTGATAGGTCCCCTTTAAATGACGAAATATCAGAAAACCAGCATGACTTCCAATAAAGAAAAGCATTACATTTTATGATTTTTACAAAAAACTATGGTGAAATAACAATGCAGCACACTGCAAAATATAAACCAATTATCATTTGCCAGTCATATATTTGTTTATACATAATTAATTGCGTTTGCGTCTAATGACTGACAGCAACAATTATTTCTTTTAAAACTTTTAAAAAACAGTTAACGGCCATGAGAGACGCCTGAACTGTGGATCCTCATTTCAATGCTTTGACAGTCAAAGGTACAATAATGTGGCCAAACCTATTTATAGCAAGACAGTTAATTAGATTCAAAGATTAATTAACGGCTTATCTAATCTATCAGAGCGCTAAAGATAACTATCTAATTAACAATACGAGTGAAGAACAGCGGCAAAGTTTGTCAAACAAAGAACTGTGTGGCTTATCTCCAACCATCACTCTTTCTCCCATTGTTCCCCTCTCATCCCTCTCTTCTTCTTTACTTCCTCTCTCCCTCACACACTCTTCCCCTCTGCCCCTGATGTTTATTGATTGCCAGAGTTCATACAAGAGCATCACTTAATGTGCTTGCTTTCATGTCCTGCCTTTGTTGCCGCGAGCCCACGATATTGCAAATTGATCCGTCGTTCCCCGCCACCCTTTGTCAGGGTTTGTGAAGTGATCTACTATTACATTAGCCCTCTCTCCCATCCGACTCTCCACTCTTTCCCCCCTCTGCTTCTAGCTTTCACTCATTCTGCCTCTTTCTTGTCATCCTTTGGCTAAACACTGGTCTGGGAGCTGATTAGCGGCGCCTCACGCCCGACTGGCTGCATTGATGAGCTCCTTGAGGTTTGATGATGTAGCCAATAAACGGACACTTTTGATTATCTGACCTCTGACCTGTTCTGTAACAACAAACCCCCTCCCCCCACCTCCCTTTCCTCTTCCTCCTCATTGTCCCCTTCACGCCTCTGTCTCTCCATTGTCCTGCTCAGGTGACGACTTGAAAATGAGGTCATGCTTGTTTGAACATAAACAACGGTGCGCATCCTCAAGGGCAGAGCATCCTTGAAATTATTCAGCGCAGGATTTTACGGCCTCTTAGGAACGATTTTGTTTTCATGACACTGATTAAATAACACAACATATTCCAAATCAGGAAGGCACGATGCAAATAGTTGGTTTATCGTTTCTGCATTTGAAAGGCGCACTCTGGCATAACTTTTGGAGAAACTTTTTCTGAAAGTGCAGAAATCTCTCGGATGTAAAACTTATATGCAACTTGTGATAACTTGTCCCTTTAGGCATTGGAAGTGAGTGGACTCCGAGACGTAAGACAAGCATCCAATAATACGGTTTTTTTTCTCACTTTTCTTCTGCCCTGGACAACTTGGCAGGATTTTGGAAAGGAAGACGAAACGTTTGACGCGCCTGCGGTCTGCGTCCTCCTGAGCCGATCAACGGCAAACTCCTGAAGTGTGTGTGCATCCTTGACAATGTGTAATTGCCTGGTGGAGAGTTTCCCCCGACTTAAGGCAGAGTGCTTGTAATTAAGAAAGGATGCCCAGGCAGGACCACCACAACTACCACTACCACCCCTCACACACACACACACACACACACACACACACACACACACACACACACACACACACACACACACACACACACACACCCTCCCAAAGCTAGTGCTGTCCTGGAGAGAAGACATCAGGAGGAGAGGCTGTTTGCAGTGATTTAAGCAGAAGATGGGGGGGGGGCTATACAGGGGGTTGTTTTCCACTGTGGGGAGGAGGGTCTGAGAAGAGAGCGATAAGGGGATGGGGGACTGCGGCACAATCATCTTGATTTCTTGTGCTGAACGATTACATGCCATGCTAATTGCTAGCAGAGGGATCTTTAATAAATATTTCATTCGGTGCAGCATCATTACTGCCTAATGTCGTTATTAATCTCCGCCGGTAATTTCCACTCAGGAGGAGCGTCTTTGTGAGGGGAAAGCTGTGTTTTCCCCCCACGAGGAGAGAGAGAGGGAGTGGGAGGGAGAGAGGGAGGAGGAGAATTAGGGAGTGATGCTGGAGAAGTGCCATTACAATACACTTATCAAAGAAGAAGGGAAGGAAAAATGAATGAACCATGGAGACGAGAAGAAAGAAAGGAATGAGGAATACAAAAAAGTTCAAAAGAGAGCGATTGGGAAGTTAACTGAACAGCGCTGGATGGATCATGTGGGAGTTAGCATGGCTGCGAATAATGTTACAGACATGTCGTTTCCTGAGAGGCCTTTTCTATCAGTGAGATCATAGCTACTAATTTGATTTGTACATGGGACGGGGGTTGGTATAACTGCCTCTGTAGAGAAAGATTTACTTTGAGTAAATGTCCAGAGCTGACAGTCTTGATTCAGTGGAAGAACCAATACTGCCAACTTACCGAAGTCTTTTTCTTTATCTCAATCTACATTGCTTTGCTATTATTTTACTTGTAGGCTTCAAAAGTTCAGCCAGGCAGGAATTTGTATATTCCAGAATATATATTCAGAAAATTAAATACCGTGAAAAAGGGCTTGCTTTTACTGCCCTGCTTGTTACGCAATTGAAACAGGTTTTTTCTAAGCTGTACTTTCCAACACTTTTTTTTCGTTATTCATTAGATGTTTGTGTTCATTGGAAAATGTATGTTTTTCTAATGTCAACTGCAAAATAATGTATCCCAAAAATGAATGGAAATATTTCAAAATCTTCCTTTTTAACTTTTTTTTACGAGGCAAATTCCTTCAAAGAAATCCTTCCACACAAGGACGTTATATATTTTTACATATCCAGCATATATGTTAAGACTAAAAATGGAAGCGTACTAAGCATACAGTATGATTACTCTGACAGATAAGCAGACAGTCTTTAGTAAGTGGAGGACAAAATGTACACACTTTTTCTTTCTTACTTATTCTCTAAACTAAAATGTGGCTTAAAAAAAAAACAACAACAATGCTAAAAGTCAAAGCAGCTCTTTTATTATTATGATTATGGGCGTGTTCATTTTTGCCACGAAGGTGTCCAGAGGTAGTATCTGACACTACGTAAAAAATAATAATGCAGTGCAATCAATTTTGTTGCTAATGTTTGACACATCCAAGACTCTAACGGCCCGTCTACACTACAGGCATCGAAAGATGCTTTCAACGCTTCGCCCATTCACTTGAATGGGGTGACGTAAAAGATTTGTAATCTTCGCCGAACTGCATTGTGGGGAGCATGGCATGGCTTTGCAAGCATCACGAGCATCTATCGGCATCAAAAGTTGAACAATGTTCAATGTTCAAATGTTGAACAATGTTCAACTTTTGAGGCTCGATGCTTGGCATCAGCCAATCAAATCCCGTTTATGCAAATCCCACCAGTGCAAGCGCTAGCCAATCAAACCGCGTGCAAGCTGGGAGAGACAGACCGCAATTCATTTCCTCATATTCCAAACGAGATATTACGGTAGCAAATCTCCCGGTTCTTTACGACCAGAACTATTTACCGGGATACAAACCGGAGGAACCAGGCATGGAGGGAGGTGGCAGAGACAGCTGGTGAAACTGGTAGGTTTTCGCCTGTTTGGAGAGTTTATATCCAGTTTACTTCGTTTTAACATTGCTATTGCTTTCTATGTCGGGGGCGAGAGATTAATGTGATTGGTTGTTGGTCGCGTTGCTCGCAAAAAATCGCCAAGCTTCAGACACGCCCAGCTTCAAGATGTTTTGATGCCTGTAGTGTAGACGGGCCGTAACCGTGGAGAGGAACTGCGCCGCCGCGCCTCGCCTCGCTCTCAAGGCTGCGGGCGTCTTTGTCCCGCGAGATTTCAAC